GAAGACATCGTAAAGCCCAATTAAACCAGATTAAGTTTGATACAAATTAGAACAATAATATTATACTCTTGTGGTGGTCTTAACGAAATAAATACTGAGAAACATAAATACTAAAGACGGTCTTTAAAGTTGAATCATATGCCAACCTTAGCAAAAGTTTATACAAACTGATATGTACTTACATATAAAACTACATATGTTTTGAGGCTATAGTAATTACAGGCTTTTCTTATATTTTATAGAATAATCGGACTATATCATGAGATTCATAATAAATAAAATATGATATATATTTCATTATATTATTATGATTTTTATTTTAAATTGGCTGGTGAACAAAGTCGCATATAGCCGTTGAATAAGAGACTGTCTTTGTTATAAAATATAATAAAAATATAGGATACATATATGTTACGAAAATCTTTTGTAAAATAAAACAATAAGTAATATGTTTCAAAAACTTGAGCCTTGTGTTATAGTTGTATGAAAACTTTATAGAACAAACAACAATTTTACTTAAAGATTCATGTAAAATTTTCATCTAAAGTTCTCAGAAAAGGAATTTGAATATTCAATCTAATATTCTAAAGAAAGAAATAAAATGGTGAAAAAATTCCAACATTTTGTTTTGAATTAGTGTTTCAAAATTACTGTGGTTATTTAAAAACTTTATCAGAATAGCAATTCTGATCTATGAATGAATCTGCTATAACCGAGTTCAGTGCACGTACGAGTATAACCCGAATATATAAAGCCAATAACAAACTAATGAAACTTCCCGCCGTCGAGTTGTGGAATATTTAATTAAAGCTATTAATTAGTGGATCAAAGATAACCGCGTAATTAATGTCTGAACTTGCATCTTGCGGCGCTTGACGCCGAACGCTTTATCATTAATATTGGGTTTTACAGTCTTCTTAATCATTAATATACGGTTTTACCAATGAGGTACTCGATGAGAAGCCAAACAATAAAAAACAACGTCTCAAGAAGTTATACAATAATAAATATATCAAATAATAAATATCTGTTGTAAGTGAAAACATGATTTATGATATATGTAAGTCAAACGTCATCGGGTTTTTGTTGCATGACAAATAGTCGTGTCACCAAGTCATGCGAGAACAAAAACAAATGTTGTAAAGTATGTAGCTATAACGAAGGTACGAGCCATAAATGTCTCTTTGTAGCTTTTGTCAACAATAATTTTATACGACATCGTACGTCCGTCCCGGCAAGGATATTAAGGTTTGGTAAATGGAGTAATTGAGGCAAATTTATAAATATTTAACATATTTTTGGGATGGTTTATATCAAATATGTAAACTTGTAAATTAACTTTTACATAAAAGCTAAACTACCACAAATTTATTAATTTGAAATTCAGATTATATTTGTATGTTTAATTCATATCTTCTCATAGTTCCATATGTCCTGAATGTCGTGAAAGTTTTATAGTACATGGATGTCATGTTCCATTACCTCGCTAATGTGTTTGATACAAATGTTTCAATCTGCGTGATATATTAACCTGCGACAAAAGAAATGACAGGCTTTTATATGTTGAGTCGTATTAATGTAAACCTTCTAGCACTGAGACACTGAGAACTCTTTACCACAAAATACAAATATGACATCTTAAAATCAATGAAATATTCCATATTTCATGAGAGGAATTCTCGTCATTTTTGAACCGAAAAAATGTTAGAATTTTTAGAGATGGTAAAATTTTGAAAAGTAATAGCACGAACACTAAATTTGATAAAAAAAACTAAAGAATGTATGTTTTTTTTGCCCGACAAGACCATTCATTCAAGAATTAATTAATTGTTATAATCTTTGAGCTAATACTAACGAAATTAAGAAAAAAAAATATTTACCAAACCTTCGCTTATAGGAATATAAACAAAAAATAAATACTATATGTACAGTTATGCCTACTTTTATAATTGCAAAAAGCATAGATTTTAACTGACATTTATTTAATCGCATATTGTTTTTGTGTTCTGTTTCGGATACCTTCTTTCTAAATCGACGTTCAGAGCCAATTCTTTATCGAAAGATTGAAGAGGGAATTCATATAAGGATCGTACACCATACACCAGGATCGCACGAGCGCATCCTAAAAAAAAGGTAGAATTTTGATAATTGAGGTGTATTAATGTTTTAACAAATTTAATTATGTACAATTGCTGTAAGGTGGTGGTACTATAAATATGTACTTGCACCGAACACAAAATTATTAACTAAATCAAACTATTCTCTCACTGCTTTTTGGTAATTAAATTTATTTTTTACTTTTTTAGTTTCCTGGGTATTACATTTTTTTAAGTATTTTATTCAAATTATAATAATTAATTAAAAAAAATACATGTTCTTGTAACATAACTGAAACTGTAAGTAAATTATTTAAAAATATAAATTGAAAAACTATTTTACATTTAGATAAGAATAACAATCTGAAGACAAGACGACTGGCGGGGATTTTTATATTTCCATTATATTTATGATCACGAAATAGTTATCAGCTTTCGGGGAACTCTCACTGACCTCGAAGACCAAGTTTGCAAAATACAACGTCATATAGTATAAATAGAGGACACTGTAAAGTAATAGTTCATTTGTGAGAAAGTACAAACGTCAATATCATAATATGCATATTAGAGAGAGGACAGTGCTTTGGTTTTTTGATAAAGTAATGGTTACTTTTATTTCTACTTCTTCCGTAATTTATAAACAGGTGTGTTTAAGCCATTTAAACTCCCAATTTATTCTAGATGTTATTGCACAGTTGGATTTATCCTTCTGCATTTTTTCCCCTAAAGTATGCACCTGCAACAAAAGATATAACCAAAACTAACTGTGATTTATCACCAAACCATAAATACTGTTACAATGAGGTCTCAGGTGTACGCTCGCCTTTATATTAAAAGGTCCTCCGCACCGGTATTTATCTTTCCACGCACCCTCTTCATTTACTTGTAATTAAGTCTCGTTACATGATAAACATGAAGTCATTTAATTTTTCAGGAGGTTAATTTGTTCTTGTCCTTTAAAAACCACATTAAAATGTCTTGTTTCGAATGTTATTTTTCATCTTGAGCTGCTCGCTGTTCCTATATTGTGTATAAAAATATATAACCTGTCTCCTCTCGATAGGGCCCAAACGACCGCTCGCTTGTCAATGATGACGCGGGTCGTTTCACGCAGCGTGTCAACTAAATTCATCATTTGTGACACAAGAGCTCGAGCCGTAGGATTTTATAAACATTATACAGTTCACTATGTACACATGATTTATTGTCAATCTTCAAGATTTTCATGCAATATAAAGCAGTTCGTGACGAAATTTAAAACTAGTTTTATTAGGTATTGCAGCTCGCTGCTTTATAATGATAGCAAATATGAAAGAAATACGTAACGCTGTCGTATTAGCAGATCTTGCAGCATCTCAGTTGGTCCTTTTTTATTGTTGGCGTATTAGTGTAAGTAAAATGTTTATATAAATAATTATGATAAAATTGATGAGATGTTGAGAAATATTAAAGTTATTTTTCCATTTCCATCCATCCATTTCCATTTGTGAAATTACCATTTCTACGACTTACAATAAAACACAACGTAGTTACAAATTGTAGAAGAAACGTTTTTTTTAAGAATAACACTTCCAATCGAGCACTACAACAACACAAAAACAAAAGAATTCCTTTTGCATACGTAAACAAAGTAGATGACTAATTTTCCATCCCCAAAGACTTGTTATTACGGACAACGTTTATCTAAATGAAAGGGTAGCTTTGGATACATACCTCAAAACCCCACTACGTCCAAAGAGAAAATAACCAGCATCGTTAACAGTGGATAGGGAAGTATAGCCCGGGGCAAAGCGACGTGCCGCTGTCTTCATTATCTGGGGCTAAGTGACCATTAAAATTCATTTTTAGGCCCTGTGGCCAAAACGACCCCCCGCTGTTCACGGGGAGGTTACAATATGTTGGAAACTCTCTGTCTCACTCAATATGGTGCTCAAAAGTTTTCAGACTATACTATGACATTTATAATTTATTAAAACAGAGAATATGATTCTAGTAAGCAATGAAAATATATTAACACAAATAAAAACCAGTAATACATTTCCCGTTCCATAACTTTTTCATTATTTTTTTTATATTTTAACGTAAATATCTTAACTCCATTAATTACATATTTATATTTATACATAGTTGTTTTGTTACTGTATTCAGTATTTATAATTAAAATAAATTAACTAATAAAGTGGTTCAAAACAAGATAATTCCATGAAAAAATAAATTGGTAGTAAATTGCGTTGCAATTGGAATAATCTAAGACTCGGCTAGATTCAGCCATCGCCTCGGGGGAACATTTGCATTTTGATCTTACTTAAGTTTGTCAGCCTGTAGTTTCAAGATCAATTTTACGCAAATTTGAACAAAGTCAAGTCAGCATAATGACGCTTCACCACATGTCTTATGGCTTTAAGACTTCTAACCTAATGTTGTGGATTAGATAAAAAGACTATAAAATAACATATAAACACATATGTGAGTACACATGTACGTAGATGGAACTTTGTAGTATTATTAATATAAGATTTATCACTAATGATATGAGATGACATAAAGTTGGTGATACGGAAGTCTTAATAAGTATTTTGTTTGATATAAATTAAATAAAAAAATAACCTATTGCAATAATATTGTAAATTATAGCCATAAAATTGAAATTGACATCCTCAGACAAATATTCCCATAATCTTCGAATTGATTAAACTATTCCTTATTAAATTATCATTCATTTGTAAAATAATGAAAAAAAAAATAAACAATATTGATAATAACTTATACTGAGACGTAAAATAAATTTTCCTTTAAAAATAATAATTAATTATTCTATAAAAAGAAATATCAGAAGATAAATTTAAAACATATTTAATCACTTACAAACTGTGTATTATAAATCACAAAACGTTAAGTATAATTTTAATAACGACGCATCGGTAGAAGTTCCACGTCATCATTTAAACCAACGGCGTAGGTGGTAGCCTCTACTGTATTCTCCTGGTGAGGGATCTCGTTCGTTATCAAGTCGTTTCTGTTGCTATCAGGTTTTATTTCGTCAATGTCTTCGTTAAGATCCTTATTTTCTCCTGTGTTGTCCATCTCCTCGCGACTGTGTTTCGGAGCAAGGGTTTGTGTTGGTAGCTCAGTGACATCCTTTGAAGTTACATCAGTACCCTCCTTTGTGATCGGGAATATAATCTTCAGTACACCGTTCTCATACGTCCAGCTTCCGTTTTCACCGACATCGTCTGGTAATGATCTCACAATTAAATAGTTCCTTTCTGGCACATCGCCTTCTTTGTGTACAGCTTGGACAACAAGCAGTCCCTTCTTGGCCTTCACGACTACTTCTTTCTCATCAAAACCTGGTAGGTTTAGCGTTATCTTGTATTCTTTATCGTCGACCTCAACGGTGGGATATTGGTGAGGGAAGTGCTTAGTGAGATCATCCAGCACTGCATCCAGCCTCATCAATTCTCTGCTTAACTCGTTCCAGAATCTTCTCGTATCGAACATTTCATTTTCGAAGAAGCTGTCAAGGTAATCGTCACCTTCCTCATAGTGAGAGTTTCCACGATAGTGTCGATGGTTGTGCCAGGGAGCGGCGCTGGCACACGCCAACAAGCCGAGGAGAATCACCGCGATCATTGTCTTCGTTTGTTATTAACTGACGCCGTTACGGACAGAAACTACTTATATAGACTTAATGGGTGCAAAGTTTATCATGTTATCGGTATATTCTAGAGTGAGCAAATAATTATGTGAGGGTCAATAAGGTCTACAATTTCTTCGAATACTTGATGTCTTCTTGTTAATAAAATATTTTATATCACTATTATTTACCTCTTGTTTATTTAAAAATCAATTTAGTATCTTTGCGTTTATTATAGAGCACAACGATTTACGTTCATTTACAGTTGAATAAACTAGTAAATAAAAGGTTATAATTTTATATATATTATAGTTTAGAAAAAACATTGTTTCCATAAAATGTAGAAACACAAATTTTATACAGAATATTATTTCAAATCACAATAAACATATGTATTAACTTGTTTACTATATGTTTTTAGATCTCATATTTATATATTTAAACGATTATAAGATTGTTAATGATATATGTACATTTTATCATCTGTGTATATACTTTAGTATAAACAAACGGATAAGCAATCAACAAATAAGCAATTATGACTCAAATTTTATATTATATTTATGTGTTTGTGAATATATTACTAAGAAGTTCAATATAAATTATAATCACTTTGATATTTTGGGACGACATGATAAAGGAAACCGTCTCATACATTATATTTAAATTTAGGATCATTATATGAAACAAAACAAGCCGATTTTGAAGTTTTGATTTTCGGGTTTATTGCCAAAGTACAGATCAGCTGAAATGAATGTATGTATATTGATTATCGATTCTAATGTGAGGTTATATGGTAAGTGATGTTGAAACATAAATTATATCACGTCTCGTTATAAACCTGATTATTAAAAATAATATATAATGGCTGTCATTATGATTAGCGAACAAAAGGGAAGCTCAAGAAAAATTTAATATACATACTAGTTTTTTCGTCAAAACTTTGGATTTTTGAGAGTCTTGTGTATTACTGATAAGATTAACGAATAGACTGATAATACGTAGTTGGTGAGACGATGTTTTAATGAATACTGTAGAAGAGTTTCAATACATAAAACTGGAGCAACAATAAAAATAACAAAGGCAGCAGAGGTTATAATAAAAATTTAAATAGCAATTTTATCTTTATGAACAGTGTGAATTTTATAAACTTTTTCCATATCTGTTTTCATAGCAAGAATTTATCTGGCGGCCGGTTAAGCAACTCACACACAAAAGTTTCAAACGCTTGAATGAAATGTAGCTCTATTACAGCGGGGAAACTTTTTTTATTTGGTACACGTCAAAGTTTAGTTTAATATCAAACCATGATCGCCGGAAAATTATGACTAAATTACATTATTATACAGTTTGTAACTGTAAGGAAAGTCCCATTTAGATAATAATTGGGTAAGTGAAGTATATTGAAATATTTACACAATAGCATGGAACGTAAAAAATACTTATATTTTTGTATGTATGAATTAAAAATTAAGTTTTTGATTATAAAGTGAGTGTCTGCTGAGTATAAAGTCAGTGAGAGCAGGCTTCACCTCGTTGACCGTGACTGGTTCCGACACAATTGAGTGTTATTGATCATAGACGAGGTGTGATCAAGTGACCTCTTAAAATGGAAATACAACTAAATAAAATTTTATTTGTTTTATTAAACGAATATATATCATATTGATTACACTCGTTATTTTCATGGATGATAAATAATATATATTTTAGTGTGCAATAGAATCTGTTCCAGAACATAAATAGTATAAGTCCGCTAGTACATACGCGGCTTTAACCCAGCGTATACAAAACAACGGTCCTATTTAAATTCAAACTATTTGTATCTATTACTTCAACATATCTCAAAGACCCGTTGTATCATAACACACGATTGTATCCATTTAAATCCCATTGCGTTTGGTACTGTCTAAAGTTAAGGTCTGTTATTGTGTAGCAAACATTCGAACGATACAAATTTGACTAAATGTTATTGTAATAGAAGCTCGTTTTAATTAAAACAATTGTTGGTTTTAATGACTCGTTCACGGGAACGATATCGTGTAAAGCGGTTTGTATTCCACTAAATATTACGTGATAATCGGATATTAACTGATTCCAAATGTACTTTAATTATATGTTACTATGAATGTAAGCCGGTCGTTCATTACTTACAACAATGTTCCGCTTTTATATGTTCGTAATTGTAAATGATTGTTTATCAAATAACCGATATCGTATTTGCCTAATTTTGATGGCCATAATATTATAAATGCGTTATCATTATTAATATCAGTCAATAAATGCTTTTAAAATGGATACCAAACCACAAATTTGTCTATACTTGAAACAGTTAATGTTAAAAAAAAATCAGACGTATATCTCTTTTAAAATGTAGTCATGGTGTTATGTACTTACGGAATTCTGAATGTTTCTCTGTTATTTATTTAGTATGTATGTGTATAAACACATCATAATATCTAGATGTTTCTCTCAAGCCAGCGAGTAGGAAGACGGCTCACAATGTCTAGGACTGTTCGTTCTAGTGTCAGACTCGATTACCAGGAATTTTGACTTTAATATTTATCACAATATGATGAACTTATGAGATGAAGTTATTGTAAGATTAAAAACAAACATTCAACATATACATATTTGAATTTTCTATTTTTCTGTTTTATTTTCTATGCAGGTACAAAAAGGATTTATATAATAGGCGCTAGGTTTCACCATTTGCTTCAAACCCTCTGAATATTTAAAAGGCCATGTTTTCGCTATTACGAATCGGGTCCCGGGTCCCCACCGCTAAATACTTGAAAGTCTAATTGAATAAACGTGTCGCGAATCCGGGATAATCGAACGGCACCGATGAAGCGAACTTAGCTCAAGTAATCCGTGGACTTTTAAATTTATTCAGGTTTTTTAACGATTCAATGCCAATTTTTGGGGTGGCGTCTTTTGGGTAAGCTTTTAAATAGTTTGTTTGAATTTTAAGTTAACAAAGATATAGCTAAAAATTAATTTTATTTTAATTTATTTTCTTTTAGTTTTTTCTTGTTTCAAATGAGATCATTCTTCAAGTTATCATATTCAGTTATCGTCCTTATTTATAAAAATAAAATATTTAAATAGATTGACTGAGGTTACGAACATCATTATCAGTTTTTAATAACTATTTAAATATTGTTTTATTTACCACAGTTTTAATGTATCCGGAACAGTTAAAACTAATTATTATCATATTAATTATTAATTTTATAATACCAATTCTATGTCGTACTTCTGTTAGCCTCATGTATAAACACGACTGACGTAACTTTTGTTTTTATATCTTCTTCTTCTATATATGTATATAAAAAAGGATTGCTGTTCCTTAGTCTCGCTAAAACTCGAGAACGGCTGAACGGATTTATCTTATCTTAGTTTTGAAATGTTCGTGGAGGTTCAGGGAAGGTATAAAAGGTGAGAAAAATTGATTCATTTCCGGGAAAACCCTAAAAACAGCCCTTTTCTATTTCCCATACAAATGTTTTCTTTGACATTAGATTTGACAACTAACTAATATGTATGTCAATCATTCTGTTCAATTGAAACAGGAAAAACTTGATTATTAATGGCCTCTAGGACGGAATAGAGTTCGCCCGGTCAGCTATACATATATTACTAATGATGAAATTAACGCGGACGAAGTCGCGGGCAAAAACTAGTTTAACAATAAAAGTAAATCAGAGTTGTAAAACATTATAAATTAATATAAGATAATGAAAATATGTTGAAAAGTGGTTGTGAGCAAAAAATCCATTGTTTAATTGTGAGAACCAAAATAATAATTAAATAAGTTTTAAATGATATGAAGCACAAAACAATTCGTACAATGCGTTGTTATCGGAATTACATTAATTTCATAAAAATAATGTCCATATATTTTTAAATATCTATATTTATGTTGAAGTGTTAATGAATAAATGAATGGTGAGTTTAAAAAGGAAACCAATGTGACGTACAAATAATTTAATTTAATCTCAAAAGCAATTAAAGGCATTGAAGACGACATCGACGTTACGACAAAGGAAAGCCAAAGACTTTAATGTACGGGGAAATTACTTAGAGACTTTAGAAATTGCTCAGACTAATTATAGAATTATATGGATTTGGATTTACTAAAGTGTTTTCATATTGTGACAAACAGAACTACGAGCCTGAGTATAGTTATATTATAATAAGTGTTTTGATGGGTAAATAAAGTGTACACATGACACTAATTATTTTACGTTGTTTATCTTTTATAAGCTATTAAACATAACACGACAAATAAGTATCTGTGTATTTAAAACATAGATACAAAGAAAACACAGTATTTGTGACGTAGGTATATCAATGTTACATTCTGTAGATGAAAAATGAAATAACATTCCAAAACTCACAATTAAAAATCTCCTTCAGGCTTGATAGTGTGTGCTCTGAATACCTGGTTCTATTGATTGTAACTATAAAATAAAATTATAACAGGACAGATGTGAGGAATCTCTATGTAAGTATGTTTGTTTGTATGAAATCTCGAACTTAATTTTGAAGCAGACATCTACAACTGCTTCAGCAATTAAATTAAGTATATAGTCATTCTTAATATTTTCATGCACTCTTACAAATTCTGTATCACGGGAAAGCATTCCTTTAAAATAAATCAATTAAATTTATTACGTTACAGAGTAATACTATCAACAATGTCGTATACTTAGGCTTAAACTTCATACCCGCTGAACGCTGGTCAAGTGCATGTGGCCTTTAGTAGACTAAAATCACTTGAAGGACTTCTTATTGTTGAACTAGAATGATCTAAATTAACCGACAAACAACTTCACAGCAGTTTCCCTTTGAATGAGATGAACAGACTAAAAGAAGTCGTACAGCGATGGCAGACACATCAAAAGTAAATTATGAAGTAATAAAAACCTTTAATAAACAAACAACTTTATATTTGAATGATTTAAAACAAAAAAACAATCGTCCAGTCTAG